CTGGTCTGTCTAGGGTGTGACTGACTTAACTGCCTCCTATCTACTAATTACCTCCACATCCTGTTTAGATAATACACTTAATTCCATACATGGTAATGACCCTGAAACTTGAACATGTGCTCCTGTTTACATAAAGTACTAGTGTGCATAAGTCTTTTAGCCTTGAACGGCTTGTTTCACTAGTACATGGAATAATAGTTATACATGTATTATCTAATTGCTATCTAACTATAAATACTGATATATAATAATAGTTACAGTGCACTAGTGGCTACCTTACTAAATAATTAATAAATAAATAACAATGACTGCCTATATAACACAAAACTACAATATAATGTTAATTTGATAGTCAACCTAATTCTACCAGGGCTCCACACTCTCCCCTCTCTAAAAGAAATGCCTTCGCGCATTTGATAAAATATGGCAACATTAATACCAATAACCTGAAGCATGAAAATGGTTCTTGTTTCATATCTTTTATCAATCAAGTTCATTACTTAAAAGTTCCATTGTGCATAGTAAACATGTTAATAACTGTCTTTGCTGGAATAGTTTAACAGTCCATTTCCAAGGTAATCTCATCCTTACTACACAGATATACATGTAGCTTTCCTATGATATCTGTAATGTGTGACAATGAGTTCTGTGGCCATCAGAAACACATGGTCAAAAGATTATAAAAATCCCTACTTTTTTTTAACTAATATAATGGCTGTTTTCTGTGCTTAAAAGTCACATTGCAAAGTAACAGTTTAACTATTTGAGATACACACTCAGTAAGCAATTATAATGTCCACAATCAAGTCCGACTACTAATATACGTAGCAGTAATTAAGTTAATCCAATGACATTATCACAGTGAATAATTCCGGATTGTTTCCAGTGACCTGCATATTCTTGTCACCAACTGCGGTTAAATTCCTATTGTTCTTCAATTCTGCTGGAAGGTTTTCATTACATCCAGTAAATAAATTGATCCCATGATATTGTCCCTTATTTTGTTGAGGAACATGCATCTTGCTGGGGTGATGTATATGTGTTGTTGGGCCACATCCATGGCACCATAGGTGGATAACCCAGTTGATATGGAATGTAATGTGTATTCCATACCGCTGCTGGGTGCACTGGGGTGGATACATTGTTCACCATTGCACTGTTGACTATTGGATTGATATGCTGGTATGTTGGTTGACCAAGTGATGTATAGGTCAATGTAGATGGTGGTCTTCTCTCTCTTGTTGAGCATCTTCTTGCTGGGTCTACTTCTGGATGTACTGGTTCATGAACAGGGTTAGCTAGAATACCTGAATTAAGCATCTCAGGCTGAGGTTCAGACATAAGTACGGGTACAGGTACAGTCTGTTCAGTGGTACCCAACACAGAGTCCGGTTCAATACCTGAATTAAGCATCTGAGGTTGAGGTTCAGACATGAGTACGGGTACAGGTACAGTCTGTTCAGTGGTACCCAACACAGAGTCCGGTTCAATACCTGAATTAAGCATCTGAGGTTGAGGTTCAGACAAGGGTTCAGGTTCTGGCACAAGTACAGTCTGTTCAGTGGTACCAAATAATGAGTTTGGTTCAACTTCAGGAAAGGTTGATTGTTGAGGTACAGAATTACCACAAGTTGGTTCAAACACCTCAGCTGATATATTCAATGGGTGTAATGTTTCAGAAGTTTCTAAATTGCTTGGTGATCTTCTGGTGTCTGATTCTCTACTCGACTCAGGAACTAAATAATAGATATCCTCTTCATCACTGGATGTATCAGTGGAATGATGGGAATTACTATTTTGTCTTGTTACTCGTCTTCTCCTGGTGCCCACCTGATGTGATGTTTGGACTGGTGGTATTGCAGGAATCTCTAATGGTAACCCATCACAAGGTAACAGTAGGTTACGATGTACTACTCTGGGTCTTCCATCACCATTTTCAGGTTTCAGTTTGTAGACTGGGCTGTCATCTCCCTTTCTCTCCGTTACAATATGGATCTTGTCTTCCCAGTATGACCGTAGTTTACACCCGGTCCTCCACGTTGGCTAAGATTTCGTATCAAGACTCTGTCACCTGGTTGAAGAATAGTACTGTGTATTTTACGGTCATAGTACCTTTTCCCTCTCTCTGCTTGTTTGTTTGCACTTTCAGCTGCTAGCTTATATGCTTCGTTCATACTAGTCTGCCACCTGGAAACATAATCTTGGTGACTACCAGACTGTTCTTTTTCCTCTAGTTGAAACAGCACATCCACAGGTAATCTTGGAGATCGTCCAAACAATAGATAGTGTGGTGAAAATCCAGTTGCGTCATTTCTAGTGCAATTATAGGCATGCACCATTTTGTTTACTGATTCCTTCCATCTAGACTTCTGTTTTTCTGGCAGTGTCCTTAACATAGACAGCAGTGTTCTGTTCATCCTTTCTACCTGTCCATTCCCCATAGGGTGATATGGTGTAGTCCTTGAAGCTTTCATTCCAGCCACCTGCTGTAATCTTCTAAACAACTGATTTTCGAATTCACCCCCTTGATCGTGATGAATTTTTGCAGGGTATCCAAAGCGTGGAATGAAATCATTGAATATTTTATCTGCTACTGTTTTCCCCGCCTTGTTTGTTGTTGGGTAGGCTTGTGCAAACCGAGTAAAGTGGTCTACAAGTAACAGAATATATTCATAACCACCTGTGCTATTTTCCAAGTGCAGAAAATCAATAGATACCATTTCAAAGGGTACAGTTGTGGTGATGTTTACTAATGGTGCTTTTACGTGGACATTTGGTGGTTTCTGTTTGATGCATTTACATTGCTTGGTTATGTATTTCTCAATGTCTCTCTGCATGTGTGGCCAATAGAATCGTTGTCTGGCCAGATTTACAACACGCTCTACTCCCAGATGTCCCATTTCTTCATGGAGTTCTTTATAAACCAGTCCCTTGTACTTGTGTGGTAGAATAAGTTGAACAGCTGATGACGTACGCCGACGTAGGATGCCATTTTCATCTAGAAATAACTTGTTCCACTCACGCATAAGAGCTTTACACTCATGTGACTCTCCTCTGCGCTCTTCCTGTGTTGGGTGACACTTCTTTTGTTTGTATTGAATTATTTTGTTAATTGCCTGATCTTCTTGTTGAGCAGCCTTTATTTGAGGTATTGTCATTGGTGTTATTGTTGATGTTGCACTTCACAGACTGTCTTCTTGAACATTATGAGGCAAAACAATTGCATGAGCCCAGTCAGTTGTTCCGTTCTGGATAGCATTGGCTGATTGGACTGTAGCACCAATTACATCTTGGGAGACTTGCTCTGTGCCGCATATTTCTCGATATCTACTGGCATTCTTGATAGTACATCGGCATCAGTGTTAGATCGGCCTGGTCTGTATTTTATCGTAAAATTAAAGTCTGCCAACTCAGCTACCCATCTGTGTCCTGTTGCATTCAGCTTGGCTGTCGTTAAGACGTATGTTAAAGGATTGTTGTCTGTATAAACAATAAATGATGGGGCATAGTACAAATAGTCTCTGAATTTCTCTGTGACAGCCCATTTCAGTGCGAGAAATTCCAGTTTTCCAGAATGCATGTGATAATTCTGTTCAGCAGGTGTTAGAGTTCTTGAACCGTATCCTATGACAACTAATTTTCCCATTCTGTCTTTGATATAACATAGCTCCTAAACCATCTTTTGAAGCATCAGTAACTAAGGTGTAAGGTTTGTTGAAGTCGGGGTATCCTAATATTGGAGGGTTTATTAGTTGATCCAGTAGTGTGTTCAATATCTGTTGATGATATTTTTCCCACTGTATTGGATGGTGTGATGATGCCTGTCCTTTCGCTTTTCTACTTTGGGATTTGATGTTCTCCTTCCTCATAGGTTGATCAGCTTGGTTTGTTGGAACAGTCAGTAGAGCATACAAAGGTTTAGCTATTCTAGAAAAGTCCTTGATATATTGACGGAAGTAACCCAGTAGTCCTAATAATTTCCTGAGTTCCCCTACTGTAGCTGGCTTCTTATCTTTCAAAGCTCGAACAGCTATAGTATCTTCTGAGTCTGGTTCATACCCTTTTTCTGAGATTATCCTACCTAAATACCGTACTTTACGTTTAAACAGGGTGCACTTTTTGGGCTTCAGTTTGATACCATGCTGGTGGAGCCTGCGTAGAACTTTTCTGATGTCTTCTACATGATCTTCAAATGTTTTAGAGTGAACTAACACATCATCTAAATATGGCTCACATACATCATGACTCAACCCATCAAGGCATTCCTCCATATAGCGTTGATACCCATTTGGTGCATTACGTAAGCTAAATGGTATTCGGGTCCATTCATACTGTCCCCATGGGGTGATGAAAGCGGTCAATGGCTGACTCTCCTCATCCATGAAGCCCTGGTGATAAGCCTTGCCTTGATCTACTACTGAGAACCATGAACTTCCTCCCAACCTATCTAAAATATCCTGAATACGCGGAATCGGTTGTCTGTCTGGTAGTGTTTTCTGATTAAGCTCACGATAATCAATACAGAGCCTCAATGTTCCATCCCGTTTCCTCACACAGACAACAGGTGATGAATAAACAGATCTTGACTTCTTCACCCACCCTTGGTTTATGAGATCTTCCAGGTATTGTTTTACCTCTGCATACAAAGGTCTAGGTAGAGATCTGTATTTATGTTGCACAGGGGTACTGTCATTTAACTGAATATGGAGTTTCAGATCTTCAATGCAGCCAATGTCTGTGTCACTTTTTGCAAATACAGCTGATTCTCCTTGTAGCATTTTTTGTACTATATCCTGTTGTTCCGTAGACAAATGACTCAAATCAATAGGTGGTTTCCATGAACCTGGTAAAGTCTCACTTGATGATTTGTGGTTGATTTCAGGGGTGGTTGTGGTGGAATTCACCTTGACCTCAGACTTTGTTTCAGCTTTAAGTTTAACTTCAAGTGGGGTAAGTGACTTAACCCACTGAAGTTGTCCAAGTATTGTCCGGTTTGCAAGAATGATGTCATGTTTGGTAGAGTTATGCACTGGAATAATGATTTGGTGTGCAGATCCCTGGCTTATGTCAATTAAATGTCCATTCACTTCCAAGCCATCCTGTAGAGGGTTCTCTATACTTGGTTCAAACAACACTGGTTGTTTCCCTGTAATTGGTTCGGTTCGAACTAGACATTTAACTTCAACTGTCTGACCTGCCTGGACCTTCACCCCTCGTCTACCAGATCTAACTATGCCCAAATAGCCACAATCCATATAATTCTTCTGAATTAAATTAACCACAGCTTGAGCATTTTGTGTTTTCTTCAATTTCAATGAGTTGGATATAGCATTTGTCAAGTTTATACATGGGTTGTCATCTTTACTATTGCCGTACTGTTTGCATACCTCTTCTATAACATTATACCCAATGATAGGACTAGTTGGTTCATTGGAGGAGTCTGCAGTGACTAACATTGGTACTTTTAATTCTTTGGTACCTGGATCCCTGGAAGTCAGATGAAAATCTACCTCTACCCAGCCTGAATAAGGTATATCTGTACCATTCATCGCTTTCACATTCAGGGTTGTACCAATCTCAAGAAGTTCTTCAATTGGGTTTAGTTGATTATCTGGAAGGTTACGTATTTTCCATGCATTGGAGACGACACATACTTGAGAGCCTGTGTCCCACAATGCATGAACTTCTTTCCCTTGTATGGAACATTCCACCACACATTTGTTACCAACCAACTTCAGTAGTTTTGCTCGTCTTGCTGGTGTTAAGTGACATTGATAGTTCATTTTCTGGTTACATTGTTGACTGTTTTTCTTTGCCGTTAGATCTTCAAGTTGCTGTATCATTTTACAGTACACTTTGTGTTCTTCCCAGTGGGCTTTTTGACAGTCATTGGAACAGTATGCACCAGCATTACAAGCAGAACATTGATGACTTACTTCTTGATCTGGTTTCCGGCAATTATTACAAGTTTGGGACTGGTCTTGTGGCTTGGTTACTCCATGTCCCGTCTGGGTAACCGATCTCCGTTTCCCGCCTGTTTTCTTGGTGACTTGCATCCAGCTTTAAAGTGCTCACTGCTGCCACACCTAAAGCAATGGTTACAGTTCTTTTTCCCATCTTCTCGACAATTATGACACCCAAATGGTTTGCGTCCATTATTGTCTCGCTGGATTCTAGTACCATGTTGTGACGGGTTATTCAAAGTCACTACCTCTTTCATCGCTGCCATTGCTGCTGCTATCCCAGCCGTAATTTCCTCTTTCATCCCCCTGATTTCTGTTATCATAGGATTTAATTTATTTCTACCTTCACTACTACCAGGGGAGGGATCAGCTGACATGTGACTGGTACATGTACCCTCTGCAGCATTAACTCTGACTGCAGTAGCCCGTCCTGATGATCGTTTACGTTGCCTCTCTTCCTCATGTTTGACTGCAACATTCAGTTTTTCAAGCAATTTTTCATCATCAATGTCACCATCCAACAAATATGGTTGTACATCAGCTCTGATAGAGTCATTAATTAACCCAGTCACCACAGCTTGACGGAAGGTGTCAGTTACCAATGCTGGATCATATTTAATTGTAGCATCAGCTGCCTTAGATGCAAATATAACTCGCTGTCGAAGGCCAAGTATGCGAAATAGAAAGTTTTGGGGCGATTCTTTAGGGTCCTGAGTTGCCCTACTGAGATCTTGGTACAGTTCTTTGGCCTCCCTTTCCCTGTAATGTGCTCTAAGAAGTGACCTTAAGCGAGGAAGTGTCAAATTGCTAGTACTTTCCAAGTAGGTACGTATCTCTTTTTGGCTACTGATTGCCCTGATCACACCTTCAATGATTTCTCTTTCATGGTATCCCCTACTAATCCCACTTTCAATTTGATGTATCAAGCTGGTGAAAGTCAGTTTATCCTTTTGATCAGGTTTCCCAATCTGTCCACTAATCTTAAACTCTCTGGTATACACCATTGCTTTCCCTCCTACATCCTGATTTGTTCTTCCCTCAGTAGCCTTGGTGAGTTCCGACAATTGCAACTGTACTGCCTCATAATCACTTTGTAACTTTGCAACAATTTTATCCTGGGAAATATTTTCTGTGGCAGTTTTGGTTGTACTTAGGTCCTCATCAGTTTTCCCAGGGGTCTCATTAGCTGATGAATTTCCCGCCCTTTGATTTTCAGTTAATTTAATCATGATTTCAAGCAAATCTACCAGAATTGACAATCCACCATCTTCCAAGGCATCGGCCCAGTCTCCTTCTAAATGGCGGTGGATATCTCTAATGATGGCATATTTTGTCTTCCCTGGTGTTTCCCCTGTCACTTTCAACTGGTCAAATACCACGATCAAATTGTCAATGTCTAGAGTATATAACTGTGCACTCACCGCCAGTAGAGTTTCTTCCACTGCTGGACTAGACATGATAGATGTTTGAAAAAGAATATCTACTCACAGTTATCTTTACTACGTGTTCTTGGAATGCCCACTTTACTGCACTGTTGATGGTAGTTCGCCTCTGACAGCCCACTCACTTGGCTGAAATCCTAAGGTCAGTTGAGTTCAGCAATAATACTGGTAATTCCTCATTAAATAGGTTTCCCGGACGAGCCCCCAGAAATGTTACACTCTTCACTACAGGTACACGGAGATGGTTTTGAGTACAAGTGTATAATAGTTGGGTTTATTCAATGAGGTACATAGAGATCACACAGTGGAGTATGAGAGAGCTGCTATAACAGATGTTGATCCCTTGCTAGTCTGTCTAGGGTGTGTCTGACTTAACTGCCTCCTATCTACTAATTACCTCCACATCCTGTTACTGATAATACTCTTAATTCCATACATGGTAATGACCCTGAAACTTGAACATGTGCTCCTGTTTACATAAAGTACTAGTGTGCATATGTCTTTTAGCCTTGAACGTCTTGTTTCACTAGTACATGGAATAATAGTTATACATGTATTATCTAATTGCTATCTAACTATAAATACTGATATATAATAATAGTTACAGTGCACTAGTGGCTACCTTACTAAATAATTAATAAATAAATAACAATGACTGCCTATATAACACAAAACTACAATATAATGTTAACTTGATAGTCAACCTAATTCTACCAGGGCTCCACACTCTCCCCTCTCTAAAAGAAATGCCTT